CTCTCCAGAAGGTACATCCACCTGGCGCTCCTGGTGTTGGGTGACCTGGGCTTGGTGCAGAGTCTGAGGGGGTTCCAGGAGTCCTGTCAGCCCTGCCTGCATCTCAGCATGTACCATGGACTGCTTCTGGGCCCATGCCAAGCGCTGCTCTGCCATCTCTGCTGCCTGTGGAGAGGGAGCACAGTTTCCCAAAATACTACTCAGAGGGATAGTCCAGTATCTCATAATACTCTAGCAGAGTGTTCAAGTGTGTCATACTACCCTTAGAAGGTTATATCCCATAATACCCTAGGGAAGATTATCTAGGTATCCTATAGTACCCTGGAGATAATCATATCCTATAAAGCTATAGGATGCAGGGTTCCAGCCATCTCATAATGCCCTGGGGGAGAGAGGAGGAATCCAGGCATCCCATAATGCCTTGGGGCAGTGAGTTTAGGTGTCCTATAAATCCTTGTGGGGAGTCGTATCCCATAATGCTCTGGGTATGGTCCAGATATCCCATAGTACACTAGCACAAAATATCTAGGTATCCCAATCATGCCCTACCAAGATGCAAATATCCCATAATATTGTGTGGGTGTCATGTGCCATAATGGCATGGGGTGGGGCAGGAGTCACATAATGCCCTGGGAGATGGTGTGGGGTAGGTATCTCACACTTCCTTGGGGATGGGGGAAGGATAGGTGTTCCCATAAGGCCCTGGGGGGTACTAGAGTATCCCACCATGGTATAGGAGAGATTTAGGTATGCTATTATGACCTGGGGCAGGTATTTAGGTATTTTCAACCTTTTTTTAATAAGTGTACCCCCAGCGGCCAGATGCGGGGGGGTGCGTGGCATACAGCTGGGTGCAGAGCAGCAGCAATGCAGGGTGGTGGGTAGTAGCGGCCACTGCATGCAAGCTTCCCCCCCTCCCCGTATCTGGCCAGCTGGGGAGTGCCTGTAAAGCCTGCAGAGGGGTGCCACTACCCTTGCCTCCACTCTCCGCCCCAGCTCTGCTCTTTGCAGGGTGGCGGCGCGGGGTGGTGGGTGGCAGTGCTTCGTCCTCTTGCCCTCATGTACCCCCTAGGGCCTTCCCAAGTACCCCTGGCAGTATGTGTACCCCCAGATGACAACCTTGTAGCCTTCTATGACCAGGTCACACTGCCTGGACGCAGGAGCCGAGGCTGATGTCATCTTCCTGGACTTTAGGAAGGCCTTCGACACAGTTTCGCACCCTATCCTCATTGGGAAGCTAGCAGACTGTGGAGTGGACACCTACATGGTCAGGTGGGTGGCCAACTGGCTTAGGGACCGCACCCAGAGAGTGGTGGTGGATGATTCCTTCTTGGCCTGGAGGGAGGTGGGCAGTGGGGTCCCGCAGGGTTCGGTCCTCGGACCAATATTACTCAATATCTTCATCAGCGATTTGGACGAGGGTGTGGAGAGCACCCTCTCCAAGTTCGCTGATGATACCAAGTTATGGGGCAAAGTTAGTACACTGGAGGGCAGGGAGCAGATTCAGGCTGACCTGGACAGGTTGGATCTATGGGCAGAGAGAAATAGGATGCAGTTTAATAAAGATAAATGTAAGGTACTCCACCTGGGAAGGAGGAACCCCCAGCACACCTATAGGTTGGGGAGTGTCCTTCTCAGCAGCTCGGAGGCAGAGAGGGATCTTGGAGTCATAATTGACTCCAAGATGAACATGAGCCAGCAGTGTAACGAGGCCATCAACAAGGCCAATCGCACTTTGTTGTGCATTAGCAGGTGCATGACTAATAGAACAAAGGTGGTGATGCTCCCCCTCTATGTGGCACTGGTCAGGCCGCAGTTGGAGTACTGTGTCCAGTTTTGAGCCCTGCACTTCAAGAGGGACGTGGGGAATCTCGAGGGGGTCCAGAGGAGGGCCACTCGCATGATTAGTGGCCTTTGTGATTAGACCCTACAGGGGGAGGTTGAGAGAGCTGAATCTCTTCAGCCTTGTGGCCACCTATAAATTTATTAGGGGAGGTCAACGGGGAATAGGGGAAGTGCTGTTTACTAAGGCACCCCAGGGAGTGACTAGGAATAATGGGTGTAAAGTAGTTGAGAGTGGATTTAGGTTAGATATTAGGAAGAAATTTTTCACAGTAAGGTTGGCCGGGATCTGGAATGGGCTTCCAAGAGAGGTGGTGCTATCACCTAGCTTGGAGGTCCTCAAGAGGAGGCTAGATAGTCACCTGGCTGGGGTCATCTGACCTTGGTCCTCTTTCCTGCCAGGGGCAGGGGGTCAGACACGATGATCCATTGTGGTCCTTTCCAACTCCTACAATCTATGAATCTATGAAACCCTTGCCATGGGGGGTGGGGGGAGGAACAGGTCCCATAGTGCCCTGGCATTTGTACCGGTGCCTGGTTGTAGGTGGCAGTGGCCTGGGCCTAGGCGCACTGACACACATTTTCCAGCTCCTCCAGTTCCAGTGCTCGCAGCCCTAGCACCACCTGTTGCTGCTGCTCCAGTGCCTCTGGCGGGGGTGGTTGAGGGGGGGAGGGCATTACTGGGAGAGAACTCGGGTATCCAGGCTCCCAGCCCTTCTTGCTTTTACCCCCCTAAGCCCCATTCCCCTCTCAGAGAACTGAGGAGTCTGGGCTCAAAGCCCCCACTTCCCTCCCAGAGAACCCAGGTGCCCAGGCTCCGAGCCCCAATGGAACCTCGGCATGTAGACTCCAAGCTTACCTCCCATTCCAATCCCCCACCACTACAGAACCCAGAGGTCCAGGCTCCCATTGTTCAAGCCCACCAACAACACTCTCCCTTCCCAGAGAACCTAGGCATCTAGTTCCTACCAATCACTGATGGAGTCCCTCTCGGCCTGGGCCTGGTTCTGGGTCTCACGCTGCTGGTCCAGCACCCGGTGCTGCTCATTCTGTTGCTCCTGGCGCCGCACTACCACCTCTGGGTCCTCACCCTTGAAGCACTGAAGGCTGGCAGGGCCAGGGGGGCCCTGATCCTCCAGCTCTGCAGCCTGATCCTGGGCCTGCTGCTGGGCCCAGGTGGCCTCCAGGGCCTGGCAAAGCCCCCATGCCTGTTCTTGCTTCTTGACCTCCAGTATCTGGGCCACCTGGGCACCCTGCAGGTGCACTACATCTGGGGGAGAAGGGGTCAGAAATCTCTGCTTCCCATACCCCACAGGGAACCTTGGAATCCGGGTGTCCCTGGGGCCTGAATTTTTTTTCCAGGCTCACCAAATGCCTCCTCCCGGCATTTCTCAGTCTCCTCTCGCAGCTTCCGCTCAGCCACTTGGGGTTGAAGGGCTTCCATGTCTACCTAGATGGGGGAGAGAGGCAAGGGCAGGATGGGTCCTGGATGCCTGAGCTCCCTTGGCTCTGATCCACCAGACTGTATCCCTCCACCAGACAACCCAGGTGACTGGGCTTTCAGCCCCTCCTGCTGTCCCGCTCTCACCTTCACAGCCCCCACACTCCCCTCCTGGAGTCCCCTGGTGTCTGGGATCTCAAGCCCCACTTCTCTCATCCCCTCAGCCCCCACTCCCCTCCCAGGGCACCCAGGTGTCTGGGCTCCAAGGTCTTTTGCTCTGCCCCAACAGACTCCATTCCCCTCCCAGGGAACTTAAGTATCTGAGGTCCCTGGTCCAACCCCCCCTAGCCTCTACTGTCCTCCTGGAACAGGGAGGGAACCCAGGGATCTTGACTTATTCCCATGCGGCAATAGCGAGGGTCAAAGATCTGTGTCTGATGCTGACGCTCCTTCTCCCTCCGGGCCTCCAGCACTGCCCCCACCTTGTGGGGCAGGTCTGCCTTGTACATCCTGGGGGAGGGGGTGGAAGTGTGAGTACCAGTGGGAGAGAACCCAGCACCTCCTGCTCATCCACCAGCCCCATTCCCCTCCCAAAGAACACAGGTGTCCAGGCTCCTACACACTGGCCTCCCTCTACCCTCTCAGAGCCAGGAGAGAACCCAGGCACCTGGGCTCATGACCTAACTGTCCTTCCCTGATCTTTTGACCCCTTCCACTCACCCTTACTTGCCCCCAAACAAAATTCCCTTTGCTTCCTGACCTTTGACTTTTGACCCCAGCCTTTCCCCAGTCTCCTCTGCCCTTTGACTCCCAATTTACGTCGGTCCCCCTTGACCTCTGACCCCTGCCTTCACCCGTATTTTTGACCCCTGTGCTCTCTGACTGAACCCTCCTTGCCCTGCTCCGCTCTGTCTCCGAGGCCTTCTGTTTAAGATCCTCGTCTCCATGGTAACAGGCCAACCCATTTCACCTCAATCTCCCCTTCCCATTGGTACAGCCCAACCGCAGTTTTATGCAAATAGCGGGTTCCCCGCGGGCCAATTAGGAACGAGAGTTTGGGAAGAGGAGTTTATTTGCTTGTTATGCAAATAAACATCCCTATTAAGTAGGAGGGCGGGAGCCCGAATGCAAATAAGGCCCGGCGTCTCGCGGGCTAATGAGGAGGAAGAAGCGGCCAGCTATGCAAAACGACCCCGGGAGCGCCGACCAATCTGAGGAAGCCTTGGAAAGAAGCCCTGCCCTTTTATCTTGGACTAGTTCCTCGCGAAGGCCGGTGCTCTCGCGAGATTTCCTTATCTTGGCGGCAGCGACGGGCCGGAAAACAGTGAGGGGGTGGGGGGTGTGAATCGGTGCTCCGGCGGGCCTCCGTAGGGCCGGACGGGACCATCCAGTGTCTCGCCACCATGGGATTCCTCAAGCTGATCGAGATCGAGAACTTTAAGTCCTACAAAGGGCGGCAAATCATCGGGCCTTTCCGCCGCTTCACAGCCATCATCGGGCCCAACGGCTCCGGTACGCGGGGCCTGCTGGAGGACCTCCCCTACTCTCTAGTGGGCAGCTGGGTGTTACGGCCCAAGGGGGACGCTTAGCTTAGCGGCGGGCGGTTGGAATGTACCACTGAGACCCCTGTAGGGTGAGGGGCTGAGGGGGGTGGTATAGTCCGGAGGGAAGCTTTCGTTTGGTGGCAGACGGGTGGGATGTTCCATTGAGACGCGGTGGAAGGGTCCACGGATGAGTGGGTAGGCGGGGGGGTAGGTCACCCTTGGCTTGGCGGTGGGCAGTTGGAATGTTCCACTGAGACCCCTGTGAGGCACGCTGGAAGGGCCCTTGAAACTCCCCTCTATGCTGGTGGAAGGGTACAAAAGCATTTCTTCCCCCCTCCCCCCCCATATTGGGGGCACTAGGTGCCATAGGGGACTTTCCCCACATAGGAATGCTATTGCCCACAGAACTACCCCCACCCATGACATGGATGGTAGTCCATTGGGACCCCCCCCCCATCCCACATTAAAATTGAACAGACTGTGGCTCCTGGGGAAGGGTATGGCTCAGGAACCCCCTGTGATGTATCCCCCCATCCCACAATGCATTGTGCCTGCCACCACCCCCTGCAACACGGGTCTTGGGTCTTTCCACCACAGGGATCCTCCAACAATGCATTGTTTATGCCAATCTTCCTGCTATCCCATGAGGCCTTGCCCTGTTGACATACCTTCCCACAATGTATTGCTCATGCCAACCCCTTCTTGCTGTCCTGTAAGACTTTGTCTCTCTGATCCCTTTTGCTGTCTCACAATGCATTGCTTATGCCAACTCCACCACTGTCCCATAAGGCCTTGCCACTTGATTTGTGTTATTTCCACAGTGCATTGTGTGCACTGATCCTTCCACTATCCCACAATGCATTGCTTATGCAATTCTTCTTTCCCACTATCCTATAATGCATTGCTCATGCCAACCCCTGAACTCTCATGAGCCCTTCCCTGCACCAATCTCCTATCCCAAAATGCCTTCTCCACACTGAAATCGCATCATTCAACATACTTCATATGCCAAACACTACTTCACTATTCTATAATGCCTTGCTCTGACTGCCCCATCCCTGCTATCCCATAGTGTATTGCTTATGCTGCCCTTCCTAGTATCTCATGAGGTCTTGCCTGCATCAGTCCCCTGCTATCCCACAATGCCTTGCCCACACTGAGGCTGCACCCCACAGTACACTGCACCTACCAATCCTCCTACTATCCCACAATACCTTGCCTGCGCTGACCTCCCTTCTGTCGCACAATACCTTGCTGGTTCTGCAGGGAAGTCAAACTTGATGGATGCCATCAGCTTCGTGCTGGGTGAGAAGACAAGCAACCTGCGGGTGAAGACTCTGCGGGACCTAATCCATGGGGCACCAGTAGGGAAGCCGGCTGCCAGCCGCGCCTATGTCAGCATGGTGTACGCGGAGGATGGCGCTGAGGATCGCACCTTTGCACGTGTCATCGTTGGTCAGCTTAGGGGTGGAGCTTGGGGATGGCACAGTGGGGAAGGGGTAGGGCTTGAGTGCAAGGGGAGGAGCATAGTGGGGAAGGGGTGGGGCTTGGACATAGTGCAGGGCTTGGGAGAAAGGGGAGGGGTGGAGCTTGATAGGGTAGGGCAGAGTGCACTTCTGGGCTGGAGCAGAGGAGGGTGGAGAATGGGTGTGGCTTGGTTAGGGGGCAGGGCTTGTAAAGGGCAGGGCTTGTGGGTAGGGGTGCGATGTGGGATAGTGGGAGAGAGTGTAGTTTGGGGCTGGATATGGGGCTTGAGGAAGGGATGGTGCTTGTCAAACTGAGGGAAAGGGTTGGGCTTTAGAGAAAGAGGAAGCTTGTGGGCAGGGGAGGGGCCAAGTGGCAAGGCTTGGGCAATGGTCAGACCAGGGGAAGGAGCTTGGGGGAGGGGAAGGGTTAGAGGGCAGACACTGAGGTTGGGAGGATGCAGACTCCATTCCCTCCCCGTGCTGGCCTTGACCCCCACCTCTCCAACTCATTAGGCAGCTCCTCGGAGTACAAGATCAACAACCGGGTGGTGCAGTTGAGTGAATATAGTGAGGAGCTAGAGAAGCTGGGCATCCTCATCAAGGCGCGCAACTTCCTTGTCTTTCAGGTGGGGGTGCTGCCTACCTGGGATGGGGCAGAGGAGGAGGAGGGTTATGGGGCTCCATTGTGCAAGGGGTGGAGCTGGGAGGGAGGGGGAGGGGTATGGGACTTGTGGTGTGAGGAGTCTTGGGTGTATGGGGGAAAGGGGGGCCCAATCCTGGCTGGGGCTTGGGGGGCATCTTGGGCCTGGTCATGGGGGTTGGGAGGTGTATTCTGGCCCCAATCCTGCTGGAGGGTAGGGTCTTTCAGGGCTAAATCCTTGGATCTGTGGAGGGGGAAGGTTCTGGCCTTAATCCTGGGTTTTTTGGGGTGGTTCTGGGCCCTATCCTTACTGGAGGGGCAAGGTCCCTGGGTTTAGGGGTGGTATGCTGGTGCTTATCTTGTCTGGGAGGGTCCTCGGCATGATACTTCAGTTTGAGGAGGTCCTGTCCGTGATCTTGGGGATTGGGAAGAGGATCCTGGGCCTGGTAAGAGGTGGGGTCCTGGGGCCTGGTAGTGATGCCCTGACCTTGTCTTCCATTGGCCCGGGTGGCAGGGGGCAGTGGAGTCGATTGCCATGAAGAACCCCAAGGAGCGCACAGCACTCTTTGAGGAGATCAGCCGGGCTGGGGAGCTGGCTCCTGAGTATGACAAGCGCAAGAAGGAGATGGTGAAGGCTGAAGAGGACACACAGTTCAACTACCATCGCAAGAAAAACATAGCTGCAGAGCGCAAGGAGGCCAAGCAGGAGAAGGAAGAGGTGGGGAGGGGGGCACAGGGGCAGTGGGTGAGGCCTAGTGGCAGGAGGCAGGTTTTTGGGGACAGCAGGGAAGTTACACTAGGGTTTAAAAGCAAGGTGGGAGGTATGCAGAGCCTCTGGTGGCAAGGGTTAGGGTTCAGGGGTGGAGGTGGGGCCTTGGAGGTGGGATGGAAGAGGGGCCTCTGGAGTAGAGGCAGGGTTTCAGAGGTGGGGTGGGGCTTCTGGGGGCCAGGGCCTGGAATGGCTGAGGAAAGGGCTGGTGAACAGGATGGGGGGACAGGGCAACAGGTGGGTGCGGGTGAGAGGCTTCAGTAAGTGGGGCCAGGTTGTTTGGAGGCAGAGCCAGGATCTTTGGGGTCCAGGCCAGGGCTCCAGAGCAGGTAGGGCTGGAAGGTTGGGGGACAGGGCCAGGGCTGGTGCGTGGGTGGTGCCAGGGCTGATGTGTGGGGCTGGAATACTTGGAGGCAGGGCCAGCATGGGTGATCTGCTTGGGGGTGGAGTTGGGGCTAGCAGAGGGGCAGTGCTAGCGAGTGGGTGGGGCTGAGATATTTGAAGCAGGGCCAGGGCTCCAGAGTGTAGGGCCATGGGGTTTAGGAGTGGGGTTAGAGCTGGCAGGTGGCCAGGGCTAAAATATGGTGGCCAG